AATAATAAGAAAATATGAACTGGTGTTTTTCACAAAAGAAAAACACCAGTTCTTCTCAAACTTAAAAAAAAAGGAAAAAATAACAAAATCATCTGGATCGACAAAAAATAAAAAATAAGGAAAGCAATGATCTGGAATCGAAAAAAAAGTAAAAAATTAAGTGTGTAAATGATTGTGACACGAACCACGGCCTACTGTTTCGGGGCCGCCCGATTACCGACCGAGCTATTATAACTTTTTTTTGGCGAAATTTACCGTCATATTTGAATGATATTTTTCATACCCTCAAAACAGGGATAAAAGGACATTTTCTAACAATGAAACCTAGCTATATCGATTTGTCGCCCCCGAATCTACCCACACACAAAATTTCATGAAAATCGCTAGAGCCGTTTCTGTGGTAGCGCCACTCAATAGTTGCACCAATGGGCAGGTCTGTCCGGGTAAGTACCACGACGTCACAGAAGACCGGAGTCAAGTGGAAGTGTTGTTTCTGCGTGTTTGGTGAGTGAGAGATATAACTTAGAAATATTTTTTGACACATCTTAGAAATATTTTTTTTTATTATGGTTTCCTCACGATATTTTCCTTCACCGCTGAGCATGTGATAAGTCAGCGCATGTGAACAGAACGGGCCCTTAAGCTGTTTGTGCACGGGCATTGCTATAACTTTGGACGAAACTAAAAAATCTAAAATCTCACTTTATTGTCACAAACAAAATCACAACAAAACATCACAAGCGCAACACTATAGGATAAAGAAAACGAAGAGTATGAAACACCGTCATTTCACTAATTTATGAGAAGTAAATCACATAAATATGAAAGTAAATAAATGTCACTTATTTTATTTTGTTTATCTGTTATTCATTTGCTTGGTTATTGTCAGCCGTAATTAATTCTAATTTTTACAATAGAGAATAAACTACGGCTATGATAAATTTAAATCTTGATATTGTTGGCTCACTAGACTAACGTAGATGTTAACTATTCAGCTGTGTAACGCCTTTTGCCTTTTAACCGTACCATTGAGTTTACCAAAGGAAAGAGATCTCTTCAGATTTTTTTCAAACGTCCCTTGCTTTAGTCATTATTGGCGGCATCTCGGGTTCGAAATCGTGAACTGACAGATACAAAGTACACATTCCCATTGCCGTAACCATCACCGCTGCTAAAATATTCGAAATTTCTAGAAATAAAAACAAAATGAAACGTCATTAACTTCTTAAAATATATTTATTTAAGCATTTAGTTATTCGGTTTCGGCGTCGGGGGTTATATTATATGTCATAGGTTCGTCTCATACGGGACAAGTATTTGGGTCGTATCGTATCGTGGGTACGTCTAATACGGTACAAGTATTTGGATGATCCACAAATAATTGCCCGGATCTGGGTGTTTGTTCCCAAGGGGTATTGACATATCAGGCAGGCGGCTTGTCGTAAAAATCTAGGCAAACCCATTAACAATATTGATTTATTTTGGATTACCAACAAAATTACATATGAACGCATATTAAAAAAACTTTTACTGATAAATAAATAAATTTTAACTGTGGTAGGGCCACGTAACAGTGTTCTCTGTTGCACGAATGGGCAGGTCCGTCCGGATAAGTATCACGACCTCACAGAAGACCGGCATAAAGTAGAAGGGTTACACTTCTGCGCTTCGTCTGGTGAGTGAGGTAGCAGGGGCCACTTTATTTAAAGATAGCAACGCATTTATAACCCTATGGGAGTTGCAAATGTCCAAGGGCGGCGGTTATCACTCAACATCAGATGAACCGCCTGCTCGTTTGCTACTTTATCACATTAAAAAAACACAAATTTTATGCTAACAATTTAAACATAATGTCACTTATAGGTAGTCACGGCATTCAACAAGAGAATTTGTCGTACTTATAGTATTAATATAAATATAAAGATAATATACATGCACATGTTCTGATCCCACCTAGCTGAGATAAACTAGAAGAAGATCTAATGTGGAGTATTGGAATAAACATCAAAAATCATTACACTAACTAAATGTAATAATATTATAAGTACATATCGGAGTGCTGTTCATGGGCTTGCATACAATTAGATTAGCCTTTGTTTTGATATGCATATATCAGTGGCGCACGCTCTTCCAATTAACACCGTGAAATAACTTGAATAATATAATAAACATATGTCAATAGAGAAGAATAGATAATGAATATCACTTTCTCAAACATACCATGGGGTTGATTAAAAATAAAATATGGCTTATGGGTAGGTAAGGTCGCGCCAACAGGTTGAGAGTCTAGGCGACTTTCATACTGAGGTCTTACTTCTGTTTATTGACTTTTCATACACAAAACCAAACGGACAATGTCAATGCTATCGTTATCGAGGTGGAGAACCAACATCAACTTATTAAATAATATTTAAAGTATAAACTGCCATAAAAATTTGCTTGATTCATCGATCTCGCTGTAATGTAGGCAAAATACTGACTGACTGACTGATTTGGCTGTAAAAATGTTAATCAAGTACAAGAGCCAGCTTATTTAATAATTGATGAGCTGATTCTAATTTATTCGCGCAAAAAAATCTTCACAAGTGTTAGTTAAACGAGAAAAATTGCGTCATTTAATGTATCATCATTGCCGCGTATAATTATAGTAAATTACTAATTAGGGTTCGATTTTAGATCCCAACTAAAGAGACTAGAGAATTGATATAGATAATATATCAATTAATGTTTTTGTAGCTCTTTTGGGCACGATATTTGGTACAACCTTGAAAAAACTGAATTGAATTATGTCCAAAGTTTATTTCTATATTGTTTTTGTGTACTTAACATTAAGTACTTAAACTAACTACTTAACTTAACTTCAAGATTAAATATTTCTTTGGGCATGAATAAATCATTGACGACTTGAATACTTCATTGAATAATTCAAAAAGGATGAATAAGATCACTTTCTTAAACATTGGCATAGATGCCTAAATTAGACACGTGTTATATCAACGTTATGAGCTACGTAACCTTTTCTAGTTCTTCTAATATTTAAATAAACTCTGTTGAATTATAAAGTAATTTAGAAGTAGTAAGTTAGAAATTCATAAAACCTACAAGTTTACGGTCGAATGACATTGCTAAGTGTGCTGTTTCTTATCCGATGATTTATATATCTTATGATTAATTATTGATTGATGTTAATGATTTATTATAAGCGTTAATGATATATTAATATAAGATTTATATGTATATTGATGCATGAATTATAAAGAACGTGCTCCGCCAACAGATAATCTCGGCTTCGATTTCTTTGTAACATAAAAAACTTCTCTTTCCTTATTCTATTTTTGTAAGGCGATCTATCAATAACTTTTCCATGAAACATAACATTGAGGCGAATTATTTGTGCAAGAATCCTTACCGGGTGTAAGATGACAGTGTCGTTTGTTGTGGCATTCTAAGGGGGTGGCCTTTGTTCAACCTTGTAGATGCCCTTTTAAAAAATATCTAATATGTAATATAAGGAAACTTTTTTAAAAATAGAATATAAGAATGTGAATTTTTTACATAAATTATCGAAAAATTTTCGCCGCAAATGATTTTCAAATAACTCATAAAAATGAATATTTGAACAACATACGTCGCCTTTTCTATTGAAATTTATCATTAATTCTATTGAAATTTTTTGTAAATAAATTGTCCGAAATTTATTCTCGGCATTGCGGCGTTGTATTTTGGTCCATGTACTATTCGTAATTTCAAGTTTCACAATTATAAAACACGATTTTCTATAATGCGTATAAAACATAAGATAAATATTTTGAAAACTCGAATAGTATACGTTTGACAAATTACAAGACCCTTATCAATTGGAGGGTGCTCGTGCTGTACTGGAAATTAAGACCTCGTGCGATAAACGTTGTTAATGAACGATAATCGTGTTGAAATGCAGTGTAAAATCACAATAGAATGTCATCCCGTACAGAAATTGGTGCACGGCATGGAATTTTATCGAAATTTTCATATAATAACTCTTCTTTATTCTCAATCATTCTCACTAATATGTATAATAATCACCGATTAAGCTCTAGCTCAAGTCGATCAAAATTTCTAAGCTTCTGAGGTACCCGGGGATATATAAAACTTGAGATCTAATAGGATCGGTGGGAAACATAACTCTTCTTTGTTTAGGTATAAGGCTCGATCGTCAATAGTTCTCTTGGCATTGATTTTCACAAGAAGGCTCATGAATTACGAATACATTATTCAAATTATTTCATATTTACATTGCGATAACATTTAAGGTCGGATTTTTCTTTCCAGTTTGTTTTCAGAATACGACTCCGTGGCGCAGTTGCCAAGGTATTGGATTCGGCGCCGGGGGTCGTGGGTTCGATTCCCACACGGAACTGATCCGAAAAAACTATTTGTTTCCCATCTGGCTGTTTGTCCTCTTGCAATTTATGTTTGTAAAACCTCCTTACAACACAGGATAATGTTATCCTTAAGTGAGTGCAATGTTTTTTGAAAAAAAAATTAGTTTTTTTTAACAGTCCTATTTGATGCGTCAAGTAAATACGATCCCCTTTATAATATTTGTTTAAAACTAAAATCTGGTTTGCTTAAAATTAAAACAAATAAAGTTTTACAAGTTTTTTTTTAAATTTTCCGTCATATTTTAATTGTTGAAATGGCTTAGATTTGACAAAAGCGTATTGTATTAAAAATTTACTTAATATGTTTATGTTTTATTAGAACTCACACTTTCATTTAGGCTTTATTAAATTTCCGATAAATTTTAAAAATTTTGGTGTATTAATAACGCGGAATTTACATGTTGCAAACGTCTTCAAGAGGTTAATTTTTTTATTCCTCCTATTGTTACAGATAGAGCGCCAAAGAACTATGTGGTCAAGCCTAAACGAAACAAGTGACTGTAGTATGATAAATCTCTGGATACAATTATCATTTAAAACGAGTTTCCGGTAGTCTACGACTTTTATACTCGAACAATGGAAGATAACAGGTAAGTAATGTGTACTAAAACACTTTATATCTGAGATAAGTGTCGAGTTTTAGTCGTTGAGTACATTAAGGACATTAAAATGACTATTGTTTTACTTATGTAAAATGTAACTTTAAATGGCCTAACGTTAATTAGGAAATAACTGTAGTTTAACTAGAATTAAATGAAACTGAATATAACACCATAGAAACTACATTATAAGGAACAAAAAAATAATAATTATAGTGTCACTCTTATGGAGAAACAAATGAATTATCTATACATATATTAAAAATGTAACTCATTGTTGTCTGTACATGGAAGATATTTGAGAAAAACTATTATTGGGGTTCTTTATAAACGCAGTAGGCCCCAGAACAATGATTGTTAAAATGTTTGTCTGTTTATCTGTTTGTGTTTGTGCGCGCTAATATCAGAAAAGCCTTAACCGATTTGGGTTCAACTTTCACTAATGGATTGTATGTAAGCTTCAATCACCATTTTATGTTAAATGTATTTAAAGTTATATCAATTTAAGGAACCACATTGAACATGGGTGTTACATAAAAACTACAGATCAAACTTTAGTTAACTAAAATATTATGGTCTGTAAAATGATGATGATTGTAAATTTATATAAAGTTGAAAAACATCGGTGATGTGCGAGTCGGACTCGCGCACGAAGGGTTTCGTAGGTACTTTATAAGCACGATATAAAATGACAATACATGCGGGCTGAGACTCGGGCGAATATGATTAGTGCAAAATGTACAAAGGTAAAAATAGAATGAAATAAGGACAGGTTTTTTTTATTTGTGGTTATATTATTGGAGCGAACAAAACATTTGCGCACTTAGGAACGCTCTACCGTGATGTTGCTCCAATTGATGCGCGCGACAAGTCAAAGGTGCCGTATCCCGTCAGGTTTTCCGTCTCGTCCGCGGAGGCGGAGAATAAGAAGAATGGAATTCTCATGGGTGCCAGCATCATCACACGCCCCCTCCGCTCGTCGGCGGAGACTGTGGAGCGTGGGGATGGCGCGGTCAGCAACCAGCCCGACACCTGGCTCCACGACGCCGGCTGGAGGCGGAAGAGGTCGCTCGCCCAGCTTACGCGCGAGGCCCTACCCAGGATGGAGAACTACAGGAACTCCAAGCGGGCCCTCAAACGACCCAGCCTTGGAGAGCTGCACGGCGACAACCTTATAACTGAAGAGGTAATGACGTCATCGTACAATACTAAATCCAATACCCTTATTGACCCGTGCTAAATATTCGCAAAGATCAGTCGCCGAAATCTATACATCTATACAGATAAATAAGACTGGAGTGTCTGTTTGTAATATTAAAATAACCGCTTTTTACTAAATGCATATGGATACACAGTACATATACCAAAATAACATTTTTTGCAATTTCACTGCCAGATAGCTGATGAAATAAGAAGTAACTTAGGCTACTGTTAATTTAGACTTTTTTTAATTTAAATTCCACGCGGACGATGTCGCGGGCACAGCGAGTCTAATATAAAAAATGAATGTTATCTCATTTCGAACAATAGTCTACTTCTTACAAAGTACAAGTGTTTAATTAAAACACATTTTAATATGTGCCGTATATTAAAACATGTTTATCATTATTTTTTTAAATATTAAAACGAAAGTTTTCTATGTAAATATTTACTTTACTCTATTTGCCGGACATTTCATTCATCCGTGTAACCAGTTCTAAATAACTCTTTTCTGGAGGAACTAGCTAAGCAGGACGCTCAGGTAGAGGCATTCTCTTCGCAGCTTGTTTAGATTTGGCTCAATTATGTAGTGATTCAGTCACTGTCACCAGACCACTGAGGGAAAATATATGAACAAAATACGGGCCAACAACTGAGACCTCAACCTCGATATGAAATCAGAAGGAAAACAGTTAACATCACTCAATAACATGCACAGCAGGTTATGGTACTTTTGTGAAGGAAATTTTTAAAATTGTCTCGGATATGTATTGAGCCTTGAAACACAACGAATTCATTAGACCCGCATTATTACGTAGAAGAAACAGATATTTTAGCAGGTTTTAATTTCTATGCCTCGTTAGCGTAGTTGCTATTGGATTGGGTTCGATTCACACGGGACAAGTGTGACCCACAGATAATTGCTGCAATATCCGTATATTCGTGAGGTGTTTATTATTCACTTCGGTCTAGGCAGGCAGTCGGTCGTAAAAAACAATCTATGCAATAGGTACCACTAATGGTGTTGATTCACATGTGTTCGTTTCACTAATGAACCAAACAGCTTTGTTTGCACTTCTTACCTCAAGGGTATCGATACGTTATAAGCATTAAAATATACCGCGACAAGCAATGCAATCAGTTCACGTTCGCTCATCAAGCGAACCACGTGTTCTCATAATATCATAACTAATTAATACCATATCATGAATATCATATAATCAGTATCATTTTAACTATCAATTTTGTAATAAAGTGTTCTAAGGAATTCTATTATCATTTATATCATCATAACCGATGTTAGGAGTTAGACCCAACAACATGTTGAGCTGTACCCACCTTAGGTGGGATGAGAGCAGGAGAAAGATGTTTGTTCAAACGTGTTTCTTTACAATACAGGTAACCTGCCAATCTGGATTACTTCGTCATCATCATCATCATTTCAGCCTGTTTGAGGCCGCTGCTGAACATAGGCCTCCTCCAGACTGCCACGAAGGATGATCCTGAGCCACCTGCATCCATCGACTTATAAGGGAAAATTTGATCTATCAATAAAATTACAGTTCGCACAAGAGGGTACAGAGAATCTCATTTCTCTGTCCGAAGTTAAGTGTTGCCTATTAAAGTTATTTAAAAAGCCCAGTTTTTAAGTTCAAATGAAATTTGAATGCCTTGTATCAAACAAGTTTGAATTATTGGCTCTCACGGACACCTGCGACTACATCACATACGATCCGTAGGATAGAAGTGACGTGTCTAGCCGATTTATACAAAAATAAAAACATGATTTTATTTCTGATGATAATATCTTTTCAGGCTTATTAGGAGAAACGTTGCGTTGGCAAGCACTTGTAATAACTTGACCGGACCTTGTCTATCCGGACCTTAACTAACCTTGTCCGGATTTTTAGTTTTCCTGACATGAGAGCACTTTTTGTTGGAAAAATCATTGGATAATTACATTGCACGTTGCAACTTCAATATTCATCACTTGATATTTCGAAGTTTAAATGGTAGCATTTAGGAAATAATTCATAATTCGTTATAGCATTATTGGAAATTGTACCTAAAATATTGTAAGCAGTAGTTAGTATTACTTATGCATTAAGTCTATGGAAACTCTATGATTACGGTAACGATCTGGAAATAATTTTGAATAGAGTTTTTATATAGTCGATTACGGCGTAACTTTTAAAAAAAATACATTGATTTAGGGTACATTTTAGTGACGGGTGAAATTAAAGTGTATTTTCGCACATCAATTATAATATTAATTAGGACAAAGACTTTGTAAGAATACGACGGACTCTCTAAATTAACTCATAATACTAAATAATAAATGTTTCAGAACATATTTTTAAACAAAGTTATCTAGTCCCAAACTATGCGTAGCTTGAACTATGGGTACTCGATAACTGGAATATTTACAAATACATCCGTGCGTAGAATAACGTTCTGTGGTCACATAGAACGAATTTGATTTTACCGTCGGTATATCTTAATTGTTGTCTACGCTTTCAGATAACATTTTATTTTTTTCGTCTGATTGATAGATATTGAGATTCAGAAACAACAGAATAGAACAACGTTTTATCTGATTTGTGCTCCGCGATACAAGGACATAATTGTACGTTTAGACACTGTTTTTTGTATTGACTAGACTAAGCTTACTAATGTAATAGACGAGTGTAAAATACTCTATTAGAATCAATTGATAATTATTTCACAGTCACCCACTTTTTTATGGATTTTTCGTTGAAAACAGTGCTAGTTTGAGTAAACGCATGTTACGTCATACATATTTTCGGAGTTTTTAGTAGAACAACTTTCTAAATGAACGTGCGACCTATTATTTTTTGGAATGTTCCGTTGAAAAACGTTATATAAACATGTATATATGAACTTGTGACCCATCAGTTTTTGCCATTTTCCGTAGGAAAACGTCATTATTACACATGAAACTTCTCATTTCCTAAATTTATATAATTTTTTATTCAAAAAGTATACCGTTTGTTTATATACCTAATCCTATTACAAACCTCAAAAATTGTAACACCAACTGCTGTTTAAGAACACTATAACCAAAATAAAAAAAATATAATTTGAATCAGCCGTCCTGAACAATTACAATTTTGCAGATGTCACGTTGTTCTACGCAGGGTGCGATATAGTGTAATTGCAATAGTTTTGAATTTTGTGTTGTGTTTAATGAATTTTATCGTTGATATAAATAGTTAAATTAGCATTATTAATCGTCGACATGAACTGAGGGTTTCCACTTGAACAAAGATCGTCGACCAACGTCATTTTCTTTAACATTATGGCGTGCTATTGGCGGCGGTTTTCACCAGTTACGTTCGGCGCTAGCCACTTCTGCGTCGCTTTAACCGGCTATAAATTCGAATGTGTTATTTTTCTCCTGTTTGAGTCATTGATACAAGGCTGACGTTGGAACTCTCATGAACAGTGATAGTTAGACAGTTGAAATTTTCACAGATTATGTATTTCTGTTGCCTCTATAACAACAAATACTAGAAAACAGAATAAAAATATGTGGGGCTCCCATACAACAGACTTGATTTTTTTGCCGCTTTTATAGAAAATGGTACGGAACTCTTGGTGCTCGAGTCCGACTCGCACTTGGCCAGTTTTTGTAATAACGAAGTGCGTATTATCAGTACGTAGTTTTTGTATTGGGTTTCTAATGCTGTTTATTTCATGAGATTTTTTTGAAGGGAAACGATTTTAATGTCTTTGTTTTGCTCTTCATTAGTTTTATTGTGACAATTTGTTAATCTTTGTTAAAGTGAAGTAATAGCCTGTAGTCACAATCTTCTCTGTTCAGAGGGTATTAATATAATCCTCTATGCGACCGCACTGGGGATTGACGGACACAAATCTTCGAAATATCTATATATGTGAACGTGAAGCAAAAACCTTGTACCCTTTTTTTATGAAAATTGCGCAAACGGAGGAGTATGAAATTTCCCACACTTATAGTTTATATAGATAATGAGTTAAAAATGCTAATATTTTTGAAAATTATCCATAAAAATACATGAAATCAATAAAAGAAACATTACACACATACCGAATACCTTTAAGGTCCAAACTTACATTAACAGACTCACTAATATAACTTGCTCAGTCAACAATTATTGGTTTACAATATTTTTTTGATGAATTCTTAGATGGTGATCTCCGATCTTTATTTATCAAAAAAATCATAAAAATAAATTGTTGCTTAGGTAAGGTAAAATATCCCCTTTTACTATATACTTAAACCGCTGACGTACGCAAGAAGTGGGGAAATCCCCATTGTTTCCTCATTTTTCTAATCCGACTGATGTGTTCATTCTATCGAGGTTAAAGATTTAAACTGTGTGTATATAGCTGAAAAGAAGATTAGAACACTCGCCAGAAAACCAATAACACTTACTTCTTCTATTAATTAATAAGGATGGTAATCAAGAACGTGAATGTTTGACCAGGCTTATACACCATATTTTAGACAGGCATATGGCAATGTACCGATATTTTTAGTTTATTAACACATAAGGCCAGACCATTTATATTACTAGGCGTACTAGCTGGCTTGACTTGTAGCTTTCTCGTGTCCGATTAATTTTTATGCGCTCTGTCAGCTAAGCTCTACTTATGTGCATCTATGTCCGAAAAATTATATCACCGATTTTGATTTTATCCATTTTTAATAAAAGCCTCTTTACAATTATGTTTTAAATAGGTTATTTTGATATAAATTTCCATCCACTTTGTTTTTATTACGAGGGAAAAATCCTTTATGAATGCCGCCATGCAGAGGTATGAGAACTCAGAAAGAACCCACTAAAACCCACGTCTCACCTGCACTGCCGCATCTTCCGGAGACACGGGAACACGGAAACGGAATCTTCCGCGACACTGGCGCGATGTATGGCCTTCTCAGGCCTTCTCTCTCGGGAAATTGGTCACCTGGTCCAGTCGTAA